GTAAATAATTACAAACACTTCTCTTTCCTCTTGGAAATCCATTAAGTTTTTGGGAATCAATCATTCTTTTGATGGAGCCAACAGCTGGACCACGGCCTTCCACTCCAGCTATTTACTGCTTGAATGTTGATTCATTATCAGACAACTGCTCTACACTTTTATCCAAGGCTGCAGAGGTTGTAGAAATGGGAAATTTTCTTCACTCCATACAGACTGTTAATCACTCATGACCAAAGCCCAAAACCACTAAAACATAGTTGCTCTGTTCTAATTACGAGGACCAAAGCCCCAGAAACCATAAATATCTCCCACTGCTAACAGATGGAGAACATTTTATGCAAATAAAGTGCTTGCTGAATTCTGCATTTTCGTTTAAATGCTTGATATATTAATGTCAAAAACGTCAACATTTCCTGTGGTCTGACGGTGACCTCGCAACACAAACATTTAATGGTATGTAAGGAGGCTCAGTCAATTTGCGTGCCACAGATGCATTAGGTTGGTTAATCATATAAAATACAAATGATGAAGTTTTTTCATGCTGTTATATTGCAATGTAAAAAATGTGAAAAATGTAAAAGTACCTATAGTAGGAAAAATAGGTAACAGTTTTACTTTTGCAGCTTTTCAGTTCTTTTCTTAAGTAAGTTTTAATAAACAGCATTTAAAGCTTTTTCATCATTCATCTGTTGTCTCTTCTCGGTTATCATTGCAGAGTTGCATGGTAACTGGTGCCTATCTGCAGGGACAGGGTCGATCCTGGACAGGTCATCAGTCCATCACAGGACAACAGAGACGCATGACAAGCAACCATGCATGCAGATTAATTCAATATCAACTTCACTAGTGGGGAATTATAGGGATACTGCTTTCTACTTGCTCCACAGACTGACACACACTCATAACAAAGAGCAATATAGTCATGTTTTGGGGCCCTAAAAGGAAGCCAGGGTTCTCAGTTCGAACCCATGCAGAAAGACCTGACCCATGACCTTCTTGCTGCAAGAAGACTCATTCTTTTTATTTTTCTAAAACGGTATGAGTGCAAAAATAACCTGTAGTTCAGACACTTTCCAACTGATTTTAATACATAATAAGGTATTTTCTAACTAATATTTTTCCCAGCTGAGTATACATGGAAACAAAGAACACAAACTGCCTGTCTGGTTTTCTTCTGTTCAAATCGGCATAAGTGAAAGAAACTGTATGGAAAATATGACTTTGCTGCAGATGATTTTTTTTATATGCAACAAAACATCAGCAACACAATTAATCAGTCAGGTGGATGTCCGATCATCCCTGAATGGTAATAAGTGAAACAAAGGTACACCACCTTCTAAAAATGACCTTTAGAAAGTACCCTAAAGTGACATAGCTTTTAATGTTTTTCTTTCTTCCAGTTTGAACTTTCAAAGGCAGTGGAACTCAGGCTTACTGCACAGTGGAATGTAGCACAGCAGCCAGTAGTATTTTAACTGTGGTTAAATCTGTACCACAAACTGATCCATGAGCTATGAATCAGATATCACCATTCAGTAAATAGGGAAATATTTCAGATTGCTTGTTTTTGTGGTCAAACCACAAACATGTTTTTGTGCTGGCTGATCCACGGTTCAGGTGTGGGAGTTTGTTGTCTGCTTTAAATGTACATTTCAGAGGTCTAAAGTTGTGAAAATGTCTTATTTTGTAGTGGTACATAACTATTTCTGCTCTTTTTAAATCGTATTCTTATCAAATACCAGAATGTGTACTGAAATTTGTTTTTATCTGAAAGTATGTCTGCTTACACAGAGCCCCAAAACTAACTAAGGCTTTTGTTCCATGATCAAGGCATGTAGTTGAGTCTCATATTGGATTTTCACCATTCTGGTCAGTGCTGTTTCAGATGATCTTTCCACATCTTTCAGGTTTTCTCATTGTAAAAATAATTTACTCATTTCCAAACTAAAACATTTTATTTTCTACATATCTCTCAACAGGACTAAAATATTGAGCATAATACAATAATTTCAAATGATTTTTGTAACTAATCTTTGGTGGTGCTATTTTTCACATATCCATTACTGTAAAAATGTCCACAGCTGTTATTTTTTTTCTCTATTCTATAGATACAGAGTATTTATATTCTTAAAACACTGTACCGTACAATACTCTTTTTGTTTTATTTTCCTATCTGTTATTTTATTGCACTTTTCTAAGGTGCATCATGCACATTTGCTGCTGTAAACACCACAATTTCCCCATCATGGGACAATAAAGGAATTTTCTATTCTAGTCTAATCTTTTGTATTTGTAAATCACCTTCATTGGTACTTAACAAATAGATAAACGGAAAAATAAATGCCATACCTGTAGGTTTTCTACTCATGCAAATGAGCACAAATGCAGATATACACAAAGCAAACTCTAGGCCTTTGAGGACCTACAGCAGCAGAGGAAGGCAAAAAACATTTAATCAAGAAAGAAGCTTCAAACAAAAACAAACTTCAATAGATCAGTTTGGATCAAAAATAAGTATCTGCACTGCATGAACATCGACATCAATTTTGAAGTCCTGCAGCTTTTCTGGAAAGCTGATAGTCTTAGTTATTTCTTATTGTCTCCAAATCAGATCACAGACGGTAATGAAAAAAAAAAGGAAAAGTTAACCTGTGTGCATCATCAGGAGTCTGTAAATTACATGGGTGTGTGGGAAAGCACTCCTGGAGAAAGTTGTTTATCCCTTTCTCATGATGCAACAGTTACGACCTGCTGGTATTTAGCATCCCAGTAACAGCCTGCCAACAGAAAAAAAAGAGAAATCAGAAGAAATACGAGTAGGTGGGCTAATACGCTGGTGAGGAATGTCAAGCTGTAAACAATTTCAAAAAAATGACTCCAGTGCTGAGGTCTAAAACCTCCTGCCGTCATTAACATTAATGCAGCCATCAGTCTGTCTGTGTGAGGGTAGGGGAGACGGTAAGGATGCCAACTCATTACCTTGGAGGCGAGTAAACAATGTCAGGAATTACAGCTCTGTTAAGTGCTGCCTACATCTCAAACGCTGCATGGATTCCTTTGGCTGGGGAGTCCACATGGAAACTCCTTCTAATCCAGCTGAACAGGCTGTAAATTAGCACAGCCCATTCATTTTAACTGCTCCAGGAATAAAATACTGCTTCTTTGTCTTACATAAATGAGCAAGTTTGCTAAAAAGATTTGACTTAATTTGTACCCTTTTAAGCTTTTTACGGCAACAGCTTATTTATTAAAAAATGTAGATGGAAATTTGTTTCACAATTGGTCAAATTACAACCACCAACTCTAGTTTATTTTAATAGGAATTGATGTGACGATCCAAAAGAAAGTGCTTTATTATGAAACGGAGGAAAAAAATGTGTTTAACTTTTTTTTTTTTTACAAATACCATCAAGAGAGCAGCATAGATTTAGATAACTCACAATAACCAAATACATCTAAGTAAAATACAGTTCAACCTCTTCCTTTCAGATCATAATTATGAACAATAAAGTCCACTTGTGATTTGATTTAATCTAAGTACAAAACCAGCTTCTTTGTGACCGGCCCCAGATGTTTGCAAGGAACAGAGCAGAAGGTTCAGGACTCAAAACTGGAAGGATGAAAAAACAGGATCTCATGGAGCACAGTTCTGTTTGTCATCTGCAAATGAAGACTTGGAACCCTTTAATCAGAAAAGCAGCCAAAGAGGCCCATGAAAACTCAGAAGATATCTGCAGTGATCTGTGGTGCAGGTGGGAAAATGTATTGATTTCATTAGCTTTGTGTTATGCAAAATGTGATATGGAAATATGCATTCCTTTTATTCTTTTACTAACATTTGTTTAACTCGTTTTTATTCTTATTTGAACCAAGAGGGTCTTAGGAGCAAATTCAGCCTGATATTACATATGTGAATTAAAGTAAGGACAGCTTCCAAACTATAAATTGGAAATACAATTGTTTGTATTTGTATGATAGAAAGGCATTGAGGAATATTTTTCAGGTAAAACCACTATTTTAAATGTCACCATGTCTGATTTATAAGTGATTAAACATAGAAAAAAATGAAAGATATTTAGCCTCGCCAAAACACTGTAAAATACCTGCATAAAGCAGTCTTTGCTCCTAAGATTTAGCCGTTGTTTCATTGAAATTTACCACTGAACACACAATAATATCATCAAACTGAATAGAAAATAAGAATAACAGAGCAAGCTTATGTAACGAATGCCGGTTACATCAGCTGAAATGGTCGCACAATTACCTCCGACCCCTTCTTGGAAAGGTCTGAGCCTCTAGTTTCCGATGATGCCGGCCATAAATGGGTGGGGCTAAAAATGAATACCTGCTGTTGTAGTACTCCCGCAGAGTCACATATGTCAGGTGTAATTTTAAATCTTAATTTGTTTACACAGCTATAAAACAAAAAATATTTGTGAAAAAAAAATTATTTTGAAAAATTTTAAAGACCCATTTTGAAAGGTATTTCTATAGATAGATGAGCAGGTGTCAGATGGGCCCTGTACCGGGCCCGCCGGGATTAAGGGGTTAAATGCCAGCATCTGTATTCATATTCATATTTTTGTATATCTGATTAATTCATTCTCAGAAACCAGACCAGATGCAATGTTCACAGTTCTTAACTATCCTTATTTACCAATTTTTTTATGAGAAAATGTATAGAGGCCACAGTGAACTCGATACTAAGGTAGAGATCTATCTTCCTGCTCCAAACAAATAACCAAAGCCTACAGTGTAAAGGTAGAAATTAAAGCAAAAGCACATTGCCCAGATAGTTTAAAATCTGATTCAAAAACTCTATAAATGACCATCCACTGAGATTCAACATAAAAGAAATACAAATCTCATGTGCAAGATGGCACCAAAAGCTTGTTTATCCATCAAGACAAACCATGAAAAGGTCCAAAGGGTATAAATACCTTGCAAGACACTGTAGTATCAAATAGAAAACAAAAACAAGAGTCAGTATTATTAGCAAACAGGTTTAATTTACATCTTTATGATAGAGGAGGTGATTTGTTTGCTGTTGATGAAAAATAATAAATCACAGTTGAATACAAAAACAACTAATCAACTGTTATTTATCACAGGATTTATGTGCAACATCTGAATGAAAAAGTAAGCATCATCATTCTGAGTGACAGTACAGTAGCTGCCGAAGGCATCAGAGCTCTACATATGAAAGCAGCTTTTTAATCACAGAGCTTCCCTCTAACTTACTTTCTCAGCAAGTGCTGGATTCTTCAGTGTTACAATTTTTTTACATACATCAAAAATTCATATAGCTTTTTTAACAGTGTGGTAGGACTGTTATGCATATATCATTTTATACACTGTGTGTGTGTGGTATGTATCTGCAGACGGCTGAGCATTTGATGTTACCACCACAGAAGCTTTATTGCTCATAATGCTCAGTTTTTAGTTGATTTATCCTTAAATTCAAACATCTATTGTCCTCAAGTCTCTGCAAAAAAAAAGAGATCTGGCAGGTAGCCCCGTCAGAGACGCATCATTCCACAGATATGAAAAGAAACCTTGATGCAGTGGGGCTGACAAAGGACCAAACACTGTGATGCCTTTTTTTTTAAGGAGTCTTATCTTTGTTATTAAAGCTGGCAATCAATCAAATAAGTAATAGCAAATTTTATCTTGATGAATGTGAAGCTGAAACAGTGCGACTGTTTTTAGTCCTGGACTAGAAATATTGGAGTTGATGAATTATCCTCTCAGAAATAATGAGCCACTCCATGGACAGAAAACTTAGCTGAATATAAGCAATTTGAGAAATAGGTTATTGTTTCTCAACCAGATTTTATCACATTTGAGATTGCTCCGTTTTAGACCTTTCAAGCCAACTTGTTAAACTAAAATGGACAAAACCAAACAACATCATCTGTAATGTAAAACAGAAAAAAAGAAAAGAAAAGAGGCCTGAACCCAGAACGTTTCCAGTTTGAAGGTTAGCCCCCGAACATGTCTAAAATGTTAAAAATAAACCAAAATTATGTTCTAGTTTATATATTTTCATTCAAGAATGAAATGCAGTAGTTTTTCTTTAGAGTACCGGGATTATCTACTCTAGTGTTTTCCTTCAATCACACATTTACATTTCATCTATTTCTGTCAAAGGCAAACTGATTGAAAAATCTTTGAAGTGTCTATTTAGCTTTTGAATGATTTGTTTCTGCATTTTGGGACAGGGTTGGAGTAAAATATGTTTTCCAGCAAGATTGATGAAAATTGTGTTATTAGTTTGATTCATTCATATTTTGTTCCTTCTTTCTTTACCATCTTCACATTTTCCCATCACTATCCATGAACAGTTGCATCTGTCAGGTATAGGGATGTAAAAACAGGTGTCAGTCTAACTAACCAGATACACCAAGTCTCCCATAAACGTTAGTCCTTAAATTCATGTTTCATTATAAACGCAATGTTTCACAGTGTCTATAACCCATGACTATTTGTTTCCCTGTGGTTTGAATATTATATGAGGTCGAAGTTGCATCATGTCATTAGACTGGATACCAAGTTATCTTGTGTGAGTAAAGAGGACGTTGGGGTTTACGATAACCTCCAAACCTCTAACTTTGATCTGAAGCCAGTTGGCAACTTGAAGTCAGAACATCTCTATAACAGCCATTAGGCACCATGTATTTATGAAAGAGTTGTCTGTTAACACAAGCTAGAAAAAAAAAATATTGCACATCCAACCAAATCTATCATAAATGCATTGGGTTTGCTAAGCAAAACTGGGACATCAAAGTTGACTAATTAAGTATGGCAAAGGACCTGTGATACTGTTAGAGTGTCTGACATAATTGAGGTTTTTAAAAGAACCGGGTAAACCTGACTGTTTGTCCAAGTTTTTTTTTTTTTTTTAAGAGTCCGGATTCAGGACCATAAACCAAAACACAACTCAAACCTAATAAAAAGAAGAGTGGGCAAAAGTAGAATATATAAGAGATGATCCAGGACTCTTTCTGAGTGAACCAGTCTTGTAAAATATTATACAAGAAGAATTAAAGGCTAATACATTAGCCCTGTTCTCTCTGTCAGGGCTGCAACAGGAAGAGGTTGTAGTGGGAGGGGCCTATGATGACATCCCAGCAGTCCTGTATTTGATATTTTGCAGTATGAACTGTTCTTTCCAGAAATAAGTTAGTGGAATAAGTTAGTTTCCTTTCTAGTGGAGATTATATGGGCCTATGCTACTAGTAAAATAGTCAATAAGTTTGCCAATTCGTTAAAATAATTAATTCACCCCATGTGAATTAACAAACTTCAATTAAATGTTAAAAAACGATCAATGTGATTAAAGAAAATTAAGTCATTGGAAAACTTTATGACAGAGGCATACTAAACAGAGCAGAGGGCTGTTTCACTGCCATGCAGTGCATGAGGGCCTCTTTCAGTTTAACCACCTGAGCTTTTACAACTGTGCATATTGAAAGAACATTTGAATTTGTCTTACATGTTCCTGATCTAATCTCAAGATTTAGTATAAGGGGTTTTAAAAAAAATAAATTATTTCTGTTATATTCTATATATTATATATATGTACCATGACTAAATCAAGTATGTACTTAATGCTTTGAAAAGTTAATAATAATTTACCTGAAATATCAAATGTTTATCTTCGATCATTTCAAAACTCAGTCTAGTGTTTTCCTCTGCAGGCAAAATCAGTCTATATTTTAAGGTCCTGCAGATCCAGAACCCTCATGTGTATCTGACACACCTAAAAACCTTAAAATCACAGTCTGGTTATCATGAGCAAGCTGTTAAACGAATGCAGCGATAGTTTAAATCTCAGTGAGTCATTATTTGGTGGAAAAAGTTGACCCCCTCCCATCCCCTGCCTGGATGATGAATGCTGACACTGATAACGAGACATCCCTGGGGGGTGGGGTGGGGGACTAATAAAGACTAATGTGCAAAGTTTCTCCACGGTGTGTCATGTGTTTGAGGAAGACGGATGACAAGTGAAATTAGGAATGTTCCTTTAGAGCTGATGGTAAATAAATGATATAATTGGTAAATGGAAGGCAGGTTGCTGTTACATTTAGATTGAATTAAAAGTGAATTCGTCTCCATCCAGCTACATGCGGCCAGTCCTTCCCATCCTGGACGTGACATTAATGCCCATGTTCTCTTGTCAGTTTGTTGGTATGTCTTTATGTCAACTATCTGAGTCCGGTTCACATTCTTCCCTCTGGTTCTTCAGCCAAGGTTCACCTTCTGGGAGCCTTAACATGGAGTCATTAACCCCGCTCCAAGATATATCTGAAGTGTAACCAGTTTCAGGCACCTGCTACAACACAGAAAAGCTAAAATTACAAATAAAGGCTACATTCAGTTTGGTTTTCCAAATGAAGGAGTTTGAGGTGGTGTGCTGCTTTAGCCAGATGAAGAAACTAGATGGGATTGGTTTCCAAAGGACTTTGGAAGTCCTTTTAAGGAGTTGATCAGGCCACCAGACCCAGGCGGGAGATCTTAGCAGACAGGAAAGAGTGGACGATGAAGACGATCGGTTTTGGACATGAGTGAAGATCCAGTTGCTGGAAACAGAAAGAAAAAACAATAAATTAACTGGCAGAATAATCATGGTGAGAAACTGGCTAAAGAGATGAAAATTTAAAATAAATAAGTAAATAAAATAAACCTCCGTTCCAAGATAAAAAATGTTTTCAGAATCAGAATCACTTTATACTTTTTTTCTTCCACTGCAACCGTTAACACAACAGAGGTAAATAAAATTGTAAGTACAAATATGATATAGGAATAAAATAAGATGAAAATCAGAATAAAATAATGTACTGCAAGTTTATAAGTTTGCCGGACAAAGATCTTGTAATGAACTACTCTAATGAATCTACTTTCATTTTAGTCGATTTTTTCTATTTTATAAAAATGTATAATTCATATATTTATTTCTTTATCCATCATGCTATGGTTTTTTTGTCCCACACTCCAGATGTGCACCACTGAAAAGTTAAATAAACACTGATATTTAAATAGAAATCCGAAGAAGATCCTGTAACCAAAATCACAATCTAAAGAAAAGTTGTATTTTTTCTTTGGTCAGTTCATAAATAAATAAAAAAAAAAAATATGTTAACTTTGTTCAAGTGAAACAAATTCATGGCTGACCAGCAAATCTTAACCAGCCAGAAAATGTTTCCAAAATGTGTAGATTGGGTGAGACCGCTAAATTAAAAACACACATTTCCTGCAAACATGACGTTATAGTAAACAGTGAAAAAAAAAATCCGAGTTCACTTTCGAACATTGAGCAAATGAGCCGTCAGCTGCATCCACAAGTGCCTCAGGATTGTTTATAGAAGCTTGTCGGAAACTGTGCTTGGTTTCGGAAATGATACAGACAGAAATCTTTTCTGCTCAAGTAGCCAACAGAGGGGTTTGAATCAGTGCTCAGAAGTCTTGGCTTATTTGCCTTGAGCATAAAGAGAGCAGTCACAACTGAGCGATCCTGTCTGAGGACTGTATATAAGAACTGTTCAAGTCTGAAGCATTAATATAAATCACTTCAGTTTCCACTTTTTTCAAATCAAAGGAGCACAGGGAGTCTGCATTCAGAGTGACTTTTAAGCTACTATACAGCGGCAGCTCTACACATTATGAATAATAAAACAGCAGGCCTCTTGGTAGATAAAATAAATAAGATAAATAGCCAACTACATGTTAATAAATTTGAGGTGAGCATGGTAAATAATGAAAACTAAACTCATCACAAAGATAGAAGCTAATTAATTTGCTCCCATGGGCCAGCCGCCCTTCATTCATGCTGCTGCAAACAGATTAAAAGCCTCACAGTCAGTGACAGGCTATTCTCTAAGAAAACCTCTTCTGAATTGCTTCTGTAGATCTAGTTAAAGAAGTACATCTCATGCTAGATGTTATTTTCTAAAGTGCCATAATTCAAATTTAGGTGAACTTGTTTACATCTTGTCAAATACATTTTATAACATAGTTTGTTACTTGCTTTATCTTGCAGACCCCCCTTAGAGGCAGACTGAGTCAGTTCTCATTGGACTCACAAAGCATCCCAGCACACTCTGGGTTTGACTGATATTTAAAGTCATTCTGAATTGATAAATTTACAATTATTTTTTCAATCAAAAATGCTATTATGGAATGAATGCATAGGAATGTTTAGAAAAAAAAAATCATGTTTTTCTTTTGAATTACCTCAGTGGGATATTGGATACTAATAGAAAAGTTAATTTGCCTTTTCTCATCAGCAATCTCCACATGTCCCCTCCTGCATGTGGTATGTAAAATCATCTCAGGTCTAAAATATTATGATAAAGTTTATGGATTAAATGCAAAAAACATTTATGTCAGTGTCATACAGTTGGAACCATATATTTAAGGCTGCAACTGTTTAAATAGGCTATTCTTTTTAAAATTTTGGTATAACTGGTGCTTTAGGTGGTTTGTTTTAGAATCACTAAATTCCAATTAATGATTAACTGATTACTAAATTAGTTGACAATTATTTCAATAATCGATTAATCATGATTGATCTTTTTCTTTCAGCCCTAATATATTTACAATCGATGAGTGAAAAGGACACATAACCACTACTTTGGTCACTACATGACTTAATTAAATTATTTGTACTTTTTAAATTCCTGAAAATTGCTAATGAGACAATTCAATAGAATTCTTAGCATTTCAGTTTTTTTTTTGTGTTTTTTTTGCTGTTAAAATATGGCCTTCAACCTCAGAACAAAGGGAAACAAACTTTGGCCTGTAGCTGCTGCTGCAGAACCACAGTTAGATAATTGAAGCTGTGTTTCAGCAGTTAACTTCCTAAAATGACCATTCGCTTTGATGTTTTCCACTGTTTGATACTGTTTATCACGAGATTTTATTAGAAAACCTGGAAAAACTGGCTCGGCCTTTCTGGTGCAGGAGTAGACCGGTTTAAATCCTACTTAAACGATAGGGACATTTTTGTGTCCTACACATCAGAGAGCAAAGAATCACATGTGGTGCTCCCCAAGGTTCCATCTCAGGTTCTCTCCTATTTAATATCTACATGTTCCCCCAACTCAGATTATATTAAACAACCTATATTACTATAATTATGCAGATGAAACACAGCTACACACTGATGTTACCAGGGGACTATGGACCCATTAAAACGCAGGTTAAATGCATAGAAGACATCAAAGCATGGTTCTGCCAAAATTTTCTTCACCTGAGTCGAGCAAAAAAACTGATGTGATAGTTTTAAAATCAAAGGAAAAGCATCTATAAAAGCTTTAGTAAATAGAGTCAGAAACCACAGATCAGACTCTATATCTTGGTGTTACGAGAGACTCAGACCTGAACCTTTAAGGAACATAAAGATGGCAACAAAGTCAGCCTTCTATAACCTAAATAACATCTCCACGATTAGGGGACTAATGTTTCAGCATGACCTTGAACAACAAAATAAAATGTTCATCTGTCTAAACAAAATAGTTAGTTTTTACGACAAAGTTTCCATCAATCGTTTTATCATTACTTCTTTTTAAATATACAGGAGTCTGAGCTCCCGTTAAATAGGAGAGCAAAAGCAAGAAAAATAAGTAAATTTATAACCTGAAAAATATAAAGAAAAAAACAAAGAGCTTATGACTATTGAAAAAATAAATAAATCAGGGAGCACCGTTTATCACTAAGAATCGATTATTTTCTCCTCAGAAGACGCCAATGTCATTTATCAGTTTGCATTTAATTGAACAAGTAAGAAAACCACATTGAGGTCTAAGTATATTTAAACATTTTTTGAAAACTTACAATTTCCCCCTCCTCTCCTCCAAAGTCCAGACAGAGCATGCGCACGCCGTCATCAGCGGACATTTTTAGTTTTTCAAAGGGGTAGGAAAGGAGCACCTGGGGCTTGACCGATGTGTCAATTACTCGTTCTTCACCATCTTCCCCATATCTTCCTTTTGGGTCAGCCAGCACAGAGAAGCCCTTTTCGTAGTGAATCACCAGCCGGCACTCCTGACTTCTGTACAGGCAACCTGGACAACAGATTATTGCATTTATTAAAGGGTCATTGATCTCCTTACTTTCAATCTGTGTCAAACTCTTTCCAATCTGTTATGTGGAAATGGTAGACATAGAAACCGGTTTAAATACATTTATATTAAACAAAATTGAACATTGTCGAAAAAAGTTTTACTAAGTAAAAAAGCCTTTATTTCTATTAGCTGTGATGATTTTCTGCGTCCAGTGAATAAAAACTTGAAGTTAAGACCAAAATATTAATTATATTGTTTATTTATATATTGTAGACAAAATGGGGGACAGATCAAAAGTATGGTAAGTGCCAGTTTAAGGATATTTTTATACAAGTCATCAGACAAAATAACCTAATCTTACTGGGTATTCTGATTTACTGAAAGAGAACGTATATCATAAATGAAAGAAAACATCAAATGTACAAGTTTTTTCACAACTAAATTGCTTAATAGCTTTTGTTGGGGATTTGTGTAACTGTGGTTTTTAAAGTTTTGCCATAAATTTGACTGTGTCATTTTAGAATATATATCCTTTTAAGTCAAACCATACTGTTCTGGAAGTTTTAGCTCTGTACAATTCACAAGTCTTCAAGATCCACAAATCTTTGAATTATATCTAACTAACTTCTCTGTCCCTGCTGAAGAAAAAGTTCCCAAGGCATGATGCTGCCACCTTCCAATAGAACCTTGAGTCTAATTTCCTACACTGTTCTGCTAGAAAGTAACAAATCAAAATAAATACATCTTGGTTTTAATTTACCAGGAGCCTATTCATATTTCATTTGTGCTCAGCACTGTGTTTTGGCAAATTAAATCCTCTTCCCAGGTTAGGTAACATCTTGTGGTAATGTTTTCTTTCTTAACCTTTCTTAACACCTTACATACATATCCTTTCTGCTTGGCATGGTGTTGCTCTTCCCGTTTTCTCACCCTATTAAGTGATTCCATTTTAAAAAACTCTGTGGGATACCATTTACTATTTAGATGATTTCATGGGCATCTAGTGGCACAGGACTGCATTCCAAGCAATGATAGTTGAATTCAAATGAATGCTGCAGTCCTCAAATTTTTCTATGTGGTTGTAACAAGAAAAAAGTGGCACTGTTTAGGGAATATTAGAGCTTAGTAAAATGACTTTATAATTAACTTGCACATATTTTGTGTTACTTCACGATTGACTTCCAGGTTGCAACATTTCCCTAACATATGTTCTAATTCTAGAGAACTTGCTGTAAGCAGAGTGCAGTTTCTCTGATGTACACCATTCCTTGCGACTTATTTCCAGCTATCCTCTCCTCTCCTCACAGCAGGCGTCTTGCCTCCAAGCTGAGCGAGTCCCACCATCTTTATCAACCCTCTTGTTTTAAGTGTTGCTTCTATCATCTTTGTCTCAGACCCACGCAGTTATATTGTGGCACACTTAATTTTATTTGTCAAAAACAGCCAAGTACTCAAATCCTGGCGATGGCAGACACTGAGGTATCATGCTGGAAAGTTTAAGCGCACAGTGAGCTCCTGTCTGAAGGACATCTGATCTACCAAGCTGTGAGTTTGTTTGACAAAGAGACAAGCCAGAGTAGCTGTTATTTCTCCACTGTTTGCTCAAAAGCTAGAGCATAAGATGAGGTGTGCATTTGACTGTGTGTATAGAGGAGGTGATACAAGTCTGTTGAAACATGACAACTAAAGTCAGTAGACTGTAATGCTGGTGCAAATAAAAACCAAGGTGTGATGAAGAAACTTATGTGCAGGTGGTTATGAGTTAAATGTATATATATATATATATATATATATATATATATATATATATATATATATATATATATATATGCTTATTTTTCTTTTTTCTTGACCTTACATAGCATCAAGCTAAAGTCTGTTTGTGTTGAACCAAAAATCAACAGAAAAGATTGGATAAAACATTCTTACTAATTTATCTCATCCAGCAAATGGTTACAATACAGACAATGTCATAAATCCATAAAAATACTGATAAACTAAGTTGCTGGCTTAACATACATGTGACAGATATAGTAATGCTGTAATTGACTTCATGACATACCAACATTTCAGCAAGAGTATGCATTTATAAGCATGTTGATGAACTTATTCACAATTACAATCACTGCTTGTAGGCTGATTACCACATACAGTGGTAGCAGTTGTCCCCTGAAAACAATCAGTCTAGAATGAAGAATTTACCAGATCAACTTTGTTCAGAGAGAATGTTTTTGTTCAGAGAGAATGTTTTTACAAAAATCCTTGGTGCACCTTAGACACATCATCAGTGTTGCATCCTCAACACTGGTGTTTAGGGTCTCACAAAAGACACATTCGCCCAAGTGACCCAGCTGAGGTTGAACAAGCTTGTTTCAAAGTATAGCCCACGGATCCCAACGGACCCCATACCCCCCACCCCCCATTTAATCCACATTTGTCGTGATGCCTTTTCTGCCACGTCAGTGATGTCTTTCCTAATCTATAGTCTGTTAATTCCCAACATCCTGAGTGCCCTGATTACAGATTGGCTGACAAACCCTCTACATTCAACCTCTAAGGGATTTCATCGGGTCTTCCATCCTCCGCTCCGGCATTTGCCTGCCAACTCCTTATACTTTTTCCTCTTTTTCTCAAAGGCCTCCTTCATCTGGTCTTCCCAGGGAACAGTGAACTCCAGCTAGACTACTTACCTTATTTCAGACACCAAGGCTACGTCTGGTCACTGACGTTCTCTGGGAAGGTCTTTGGTAGCTCCTGAGCCCTGTCCGAAGGCTGCCACTGTTCCCACCAGCTTGCCATGTCATAGTTGTACCACAGGCTGGCTGACTGCCCTGTAAGCCTTCCACTTCCTGCCAGTTCTCACTTCTGTTCCTACTGAGGAAAATGTGTTTTCAGTGCAGTTCCTGTTACAGCAGAACCTCTCTAGTTTAGGTAACTAGAAACTCCTCTGTCAGACTATGGAAGGGGAGTTTTAGATTGTTGTTCTTCCCATGTGAAAGGATGCTGCTGAGGCTTCATGGTAGGCCCAACCACTTCTGGAGGAAATAGCTGACTTTCCTCTCGAAAAGACTAAGCAGTAATCTTTGGCACGTCATAGACCAGCAGTGGCCAAAAGAGTCATGGAAAAATTCCATGGTTCCATGCTGGTAAATTCAGGCTTCAAACTTGCCTTGAAGACTTCTTCATTGCCGTCAGCCAGGATTCCAACTCTTCAGTGGTTAAATGAAGTAATGTCCTTCAAGGTGCAATTGTAAATCTTACCCAGGCTCTTAACTGGTTTGTCTGTGACAGATAGGATTGGGATGCCTCCTATAGTGAAGTGAAACTGGTCTGAATCCTTCCCTCTCCTGACAACCAGGGACCTGGATTTGACTCGTTTGCAGTCCATCCGTAACCAGCTGATGAGTTCCGCAAGGCCTCACAGGATCCATCTACAGCCCGGGATTTGTTGTATGTCACTATCATCCATAAATGCTCTGATGGGTGGCTGCCGTGTACTGAAGTTTGTGAGTGGGCCTCTACACCATCTACTGCCTACTTCACCACCATATTCATGGCCAAGTTCAACAACATCACTGAAATGGTACATCCAGTGATAATGCCCTTCTCAAGCTGAGGAAATGTAGATGTTAATGTTCCAGAGGTGACTCTCAAATCTGTACAGCTATAATAGACCAGTATGAGGTCATCTTGCCTATATCATGGTATCGTTGGAGTGAGATTGCCACCAACTTGTGTGGAATTGACCTCTACCCGTTTGCAAGATCAAACCAAAGGACTGCCAGGTTTTCTTTCCCTTCATCCGCCTCCTAGATCAGCTGCACAGTGCATGCCGAAACCTTCGGGACTTCTCCTTTCTACACTGAGGTGTCGATGTAAGTGGTCTTCAGGAGAAACTGTTATGCACTGGGCACTTAAAAATACTGAAGAATATCTTGCCCTGTACACTGAGGAGTGAGATGAAAATTTAAAGCAAAAAAAAAATCTGCAGAAGTTGTGTGTATATAAACCTTTAAAAATAGACCAAAAAACAAGTTTAAATTTTTGTTTATTTTTTCAGACACCTTGGACATTAAAAGTGAAAACCTTTGATAATAGCTTCATAACTTCAGAGGTCAACATATTGTTTCCTCAATGCTTGCTAAACTGTCCAACTTGTAACTGTAAAACATTTTAAGTTTCTATCACAAGCTTTTCATGTTTGTTTGTTGGTATTTTGGCCCGTTCCTCCTGATAGAACTGGTCTAACTTAGTAAGGCTGAGACTTGAACTCACTCTTTTCTGCTTAACTAACAGAACCACTCGAAATCCTTGACCTTGTTGCCATTAACCACTCTTAAAATAACCTCACTCTATGTTAGGACCTTGCTCAAGATAGAAGAACCTTGCATTGAAAGGCTTAGAAAATAATAAGAACACACACCAATGGCCCTGAAGAAAACAGAAAAATATATGATTCTGACATTTAGTGAATAAAAAATAGTTTTTGCCATTCTACATAACCTAAATTATCAAAGGTTTAGTCCGATTAATGTTTAATATTTAAATGTAATGTTTATATTGATATTTATACTAGCATATAACTATGTTGTTATAAAATTACAATAATGGAGCAACCTTTTTTCTATAGTTTAAAATCAATCAGACAAGAACAATGCAAAGATTCACATGTTTATGTCCAGTAAAAATGTTATGCTGAGAAAATTTATTTGCTGTCAGTAATTTAACCAAAACACACTTTTAATTGAATTTCTAAAAAAAGACAGGCTTGTCTATATTTTTGAGATATCATCTAAGGGGCTCCGGCGTCACACTAACACATCTGTTATCTAGACACTAAATACCTACTAAGATAGTGATAGTCATGGAAGAGTACTTTGTAAAAGCTCGCTTCATATCATGTTATGTTTATATAATCAAGGAAATACTTCAACAATTTAATCTTGCTGACCACAGAGGTCATTTAGACTTCCCTGCAAACGTCACATCTTATCACTAAA